TTGTCATGTTTTCTTCATATTCTTTTTTTTTTTTTTTTTTGTCTTTTGAGACAGGTTTCTCTGTAGCTTTGGAGCCTGTCCTGGAACTAGCTCTTGTAGACCAGGCTGACCTCAAACTCACAGAGATTCGCCTGCCTCTGCCTCCTGAATGCTGGGATTAAAGTTGTGCGCCAACACCGTCTGGCTCTTTTTTTGTTTTTTTGAGACAGGGTTTTTCTGTGTAACAGTCCTGGATGTTCTGGAACTCACTTTGTAGATCAGGCTGGCCTGGAACTCAAAGACCTGCCTGCCTCTGCTTCCCAAGTGCTGGGATTAAAGGCCCAGCCAACTCCATATTTTTTAAAAAAGTTTTTTTGTGTGTGTGGTAAATTGACATGCACAAAATAAATCATACATTGTGGGGTTGTGATACTAAGTGTGAAACACAAGGCTTCATACATGCGAGGTACGTACTCTCCCACTGAGATATCCCGCAGCCCAAATTCTATATAGAGAGTACATAATTGCTAAGATTGACATATGTACTTGCCCATGGCATTGTCATATGGACATACCCATGACATCATCACCACAGAGCCCGCTCATGCCCATTGACAGCCTTCGTCTTCCCATTCGTCATACCAATTGCTGTCCATAGTCTCAGATTCCACGAAATCACTAATTTGCTTTCAGTAGCCATAGCTAGTTTTTTTCTATAAATAGAACATGTAGTAAACATTATATTATTATTATTATTATTATTATTATTATTATTATTATTAGGGGTACAGGGTCTCACTGTCAGGGAATATGAAACTCTAATAGCACCGTGACAAGCAGACATCTCGGGGAGGAGGCCATAAATAAACAAGTAGAATATCTCCAAAAGTAACCCCCTCCCACCGTTCCATCTGCCCTACCTCCAGGTCATGTTCCAAGCATGCCCTGGACATGGGCTGCATGCCAGTCAGCCCACTCTTATTTATCTGTGCTGACCAACTTAAAATGAGGGGAGAGACTCCACCCCAGGCCACCAAAAACCCTTAAACCTGGCACCCTTCATGGAATTTTAGTTTCTAAACCGCAAATTTGAATTCTGAATAACTGAGGAAAATACAAATAAGTGGAAAGATACCTTCTGCTTGTGGACTGAAAGATTAGATATTGTTGAAACACCAAGAATAAAAGCAATATAGCGATTCAATATATATCTATAATCCAATACTTTTCATGAAATTTAAAAAGAATTCTAAAATTTGTATAGAAGCATAAAGCCTCAAGTACCCACATCAATACTGAGAGAAGAGAGAGTTGGAGATATTAACGCATCCTAATTTAAAATTATAAAACTACAGTAATAAACAGTATCCTACTAGAATAAAAACAGAAGTGCTGGCTGTAAATCAGGCAAGAGAATCACCGGTCCAAAGCCAGCCTCAGCAACTTGTATGACTCTTGTCTCCAAATTTAAAAGGGCTGGAGGTGAACTCTGTGGTAGAGTGCGTACTTAGCACGTGGGAGGCACTGGTCCAGTTCCTAATACTGCAAAACCCCAGGCTGAGGACCTGAGTTTATTTCTTTATTCTTTACTTCCCTTATCCTAAGTGGTGGAGTGCCATTGTTAGGGGCAGGGAAGGCCTTACTCAATGGCTGTAGTAATATCTGCGTGTGGTTAATTGTTGACTGCTTCAGTCTTTGCTCTTTAGAGTCTGTCTTTACTAGACACTTTTATTAATTCAGGAAGTATTGCTTCAGCTGGCTTCTTAGTTTAATTTTTTTGAGAATTTCACACATGAATACTGTACATCCTTTCCACTCCACATTCTTTCTTCTCCTACTCCTCTCATGTCCCCCACTTCCTCTCAAATTCATGAACTTTCCTTTTTTGTTTTGTTTTGTCTTTTAAGACTGGGTTTCTTTGTGTAGCCCTGGCTGTCCTGGAACTAGCTCTATAAACCAGGCTTGATGTGGGAGTGTCATATATCAATCTGTTGATTTCATTGGTTAAGTTATAATAAACCAACTGCTTGGCCTCAGCTTAGAACATAGATGGGAGGAGTAAACAGAATAGAATTCTGGGCGGAAGAGGAAGTGAGGTCAGACTCTGCTCTGCTCCCGGAGAGACTTGGCTCTCCAGATCACAGACGCCATGCTCAGCTCTCCCAGGTAGACGCGATAGCTCTGCTCTCTGAGGCACACGTGATGAAGATGGATGTAGGCTAGAATCTTCCGGTAAGCGCACCTTGGGGTGCTTACACACATTATTAGAAATGGGCTAGTCCAGGTGCGAGAATTAGCCTGTAAGGGCTTGAGTTCATGGGCCAAGCAGTTCTTTAAATGAATACAGTTTGTGTGTTGTTATTTCGGGCGTGAGCTAGCCAAGCGGCTGGGGTGTTGGGGACGCAGCCCCGCCGCCGCTTCTTATTTCAACACAGGCTGGCCTCCAAATCACAGAGATGCACCTGCCTCTGCCTCCTAAGTGTGCCTCCACTGCTGGGTAACCTCTTCTTTAATCATATTACACACACACACATACACACACACACACACACATACACACCCCCTACTGAGCCCATCTAGTGTTGCTCATATGTTGGCTTTAGATAATCTATCACGGAGCCAGCTCATCCTCCCTCCCTCAGCAGCCACTGATCCTCTGTAGCTCTTCATCTACGGGTGGCATCCATCATATTGGCCATATTAGCATGACAACTGGTGTTGTCATTATGCAGGTCCTTTTTTTTTTATGTAGTTTTCAAGACAGGGCTTCTCTGTATATCCCTGGCTGACCTCAGTCTCGCTTTGTAGACCATGCTGGCCTTGAACTCACAGAAATCCACTTGCCTCTGCCTTCCGTGTGCTGGTATTAAAGGCATGTGCCACCCCTGCCAGGTCTTTTTTAGGCAATCATATTGTTAAGACTCCATGGGTGCAGCTTCCTTGTAATATCTAGAAAACAGTATCAGCAGAGAGTCCTGGGCCTCTGGTTCTTATGATCTTTCTGTTCCCTCTTCTGTGATTTTCCTGAGCCTTTAGGGTTATGCTGTAGATGTATCATTTGGGGTCAGGCACATCAGTCTCTTTTCTCTGCATTTTGACCAGTTGCAGATCTCTGTAGTAATCTCCATTTGCTGCAAAATGAAGCTTCTTTGATGAGGGGTGAGAGCTACACTTATCTGTGTAGATAAGTATTTAGAATACAGTAAGAAATTCTATTGGCTTATGAAAATAGCTATAAGAGGTTCTCCTCTAAGGTCTGTGACCTCTCCAGCCACAGACAGTTGTCTAGATTACAGGCATGTACTGCCTTCTATGAACGGGGAAGTATCTAAGCTGCTGGTAGCTTTCAGCACCTTTGGCATCCTTTGACTTGCAGGTAAATCACTATAGTCTCCTTCTCCATCCTCATGTGGCCTACATAGGGATGATAATAGTGATATATAGTGGTACATGGTGGTTCATAGTGACACACAGCAATACATAGCGATACATAGCAATATATAATGATACTGTTATAAAATGTAAACTGTATTCTGTATCCATTGTTAAAGGGTTAGAAAAAGTAAAGAAATTGAAGTAGTAATATGAAATAAGAAAAGGCAAACTAATTCTTAATGTATTTGACTCAAACTTCTTTTTTTTTCTTTTTGTAGCTGTTGGAAAAATTAGAGGAAAACCCCTCCCATTACTCTTGTTTTTTGAGGCTATATTTAGCACGAGTCAGGCCTTCAAACGCCCTATTAATGCTGACCTAACCGTGGAGGGAATCAAATGTGGACTGTCTGAAAAGCGGCTTGATTTAGTTACCCATTGGATCACCCAGGAAAAGTAAGCAATTTTAAGCTGCTAACTTAATTTTGACATATGATTAATATGGTTGTTTTTCTCTGACTTAGAAAAGTTTGTTGTTTGTGGGCTAGAGTTTCCCAGTGTAGCCTAGACTGGCCTCTGGGTCTAATCCCTCTGCCGTAGTCTCCTACCTGCTGGGATTATAGGCTTGTCATAGTACATCCAGCTAATGCTTTGATATAAATGCTGTGTTTTAGAATTTACTTCAGTTCCCTATTGAAATTAATTAGAAAGTGTCTCTGAAGGCCCAGACACAAAGAGCGCAGACTATCAGTCACTTCAGTGACGCTCACAAGACAAAGCATGGAACTTAGTAGCAGGTGGAAGTTGAGTGTCATGGACACAGAAGGGTTGGTCAGTCGCACACTTCTTGGGAAGGAAAAGATAAGGAGCCTGATTCTACAAACATAGGAGACAATATATATTGAGGAAGAACATCGGCCATGGTTACCATGAGAAGTTTTGAAGAACACTTAAGCCAGCAGGTGGCAGCCTCTTGAAGTGAGGTCTCCTACAGACCGGCAGAATTGTGCTAGTGTCTGTAGGCTTGCCTCTCTAGAACCAGAGCCTGAGATGGGGTGGGTGGGAAGGAGAGTGGGCTTCCTAGTAAAGCTGAGTACAGCCAGAGGACATAGCAAAGCCTTAGCTGTACCCCACAGACAAAGCGTGCTTGGAGCTGTTCCACCTTGAGGGATTGGCCCAGCCTTTCTTATCTCTCAACTTGGCTGGTTTATAAAGAAAAAGTGAGTTTTCTGATTCTTGAACCACTCTCCACTCTCTACCCAAATAAATACAGAGTCCTTTTTTTTTTTTTTTTTTTTTTTTTTTTTTTTTTTTTTTTTTTTTTTTTTTTTTTTTTTTTTTTTGCACGTTAAATCACAAGACATTTTGTAGAGGTATCAGGATTTCATTTTAATGTTACTGGCATGTTGTTAGAAGTATACAAACACTACCAGTATTATGTGAGCCCTGCTGTTTTGCAGCCATTAGTTAAAATATATGACTAAAGCACAATCCCTTGTAAGCACTAATTAGAAGGGACTTTTCTGACCGTGCCCAGATGTTCTTCTGGCTTATGCTGAGAGTTTCCAGGTAGCGTTACTGTGATAGCACAGATGGCTGGTTCACTTTAAAACAGTGTAGCCAATGAAGTGATGCAGTCCAACTGTTGGAAGAGACCTGCTTCCTCGGTTTCTCCTCATGGATAGCACATCGCTCCCCACACTTTCCTTCTTATTATCTAGAACACGAAAACTAACGGTGCTGACATACTTTAGAGATGGATGTTGGGGTGGAGGACACGAGGACTTCAGGAAAACAGGATATGATGTGGAAATGGAGTTTTCCTTTTAGTACAAATATTTGCAAATCTAATTATGAGCCAAAAATTTTCCCACTATCTAACGTCTAATAAATATATAGTATACTCTGCAGAATGTAGACAGACTTTGGGTAACTTATGAAAGCACCGAGACCTCCCCTCCCCCCAGCTGCATGAAGACTTTGCATACCTGGCAATCATTTATTCATTTATTTAGTTAGTTAATTTTTGTTTTTCAAGACAGGGTTTCTCTGTAACTTTGGAGCCTGTCCTGGAACTCACTCTGTAGACCAAGTAGACCAGGCTGGCCTTGAACTCGTGGAGATCCACCTGCCTCTGCTTCCTGAGTGCTGGGATTAAAGGCCTGTGCCGCCACTGCCTGGCCTTTACCTGCCAATTTTAATTCTGTTAGTCTTTGCAGGAGAGTTTAAGTCTTGCTTACAGACCTTAACAAATTTGATCTCAATTTTACCAAAATACCTTTCCAAATTAGTAAGTGCTGATTTCTTTTGGTTTTGCCAATCTCAAATGTGCTTAATTTCTACTCATCATCAGTTGCTTATAGGTTATTTATAATCCATTCTTAGAGTCCTGAATATTCAGTATTTCAGTCTCAGCCATGCACCAAGAATTCCCTGACATGTGCCTTGATGATCTGCTTGCTTCAGGCTGACATTTTCTGAGAAGGCTGGGGATATTGTTTTTGCTTATGGGGAGCAGAACACATACCACAAGCCTAACTGCTTGGCTTTAGCTCAGATTATCTACAACGAGTGTGGTTTACACAAGAAAGCTCTTCTTTGCCTGTGTAAACAGGGTCAGATTCATGAGGCCGTGGAACAGCTTCAACAGTTAAAGGACTTCACCTTTGGTGAGTAAAACGCCTGCTTCCTTCCAGGCAGCTTAACTCTGACGTCTTTCGTAGCAGCTGGATCTGTTTGAAACTAAGCTTATGAAGTATTTTATGCACACTGATAGGAGATTTCTTTTGTAAGTTTACATGAAACTAAGTGTAACTGAATTTTATGATATGCATTATGCATTTTCTCAAAGGAAACATTTAATGTGTGGCTATTACTAGAACTATGTAATATTAAAGACAAATTTACTTCATATGATAGACCATTCTACATAAAGAATTTTTAAAATAACTGAAATAGCCGGGCGGTGGTGGCGCACGCCTTTAATCCCAGCACTTGGGAGGCAGAGGCAGGCAGATCTCTGTGATGAGTTCGAGGCCAGCCTGGTCTACAAGAGCTAGTTCCAGGACAGGCTCCAAAGCTACAGAGAAACCCTGTCTTGAAAAAGAAAAAAAAATAACTGAAATTTTCATATATAGTGTATGTATAAAAGTGTATTATAATAATTATAGATGAAGTATTACAGAAATGATGCTAATTTCAGAATTTTGATACCCGGCTCATAGCAGAATGTGACCTGAGAGAACTGTGAGTAGTAGCCGACCCCAGGTCAGTGAGCAGATCTCTGACTGTGAGTCCCAGCCACAGTGACTTTAAGGTCCCTGCAGTCCTGGCACCTCCCATTTCCCAGTCTTTTTTTTCCCCCCTCTATTTTGAGAAGTTATAGAAACAAATAAGTCAATGTAAAAAAAGAAAGAGGTTGCAAAGCAGACAGAAACAGCAACTTTAAGCCGTATTTTCCAGGAAGAAGGATATATGATTGTTGAATCTGATCATTTTTTAAGTAGTACGTGTACTTGTGATGTATGTGTTTGAAAGCCCCCGTGTCTTCCATTATCGACATTGCTGAGTAGGAGCTGCGGCTCCTGTGCATTGTTTCTCCTCGTCCTTCTGTTGAGTCTGAAGTGACGTCAGTTCTAACATCTGCTTTATAGACAGAAGCAGTTCATGTTTTCCCAGGGAGGCTAAGGCACACTGGGGCGTTTCCCGTAATTATACAATAACAGCGCAGTCTGGTAGAGTGGGTGGGTACCACTCTCTAAATTTGTTGAGTGAATTATGGATTATATTTTACTAATTAAGAATACAGATTCAGTTTCTGTGCTGTTTTTCATCTGAAACAATTATATTAGTGTTTAGATATAAAATTTGAGAATATTATGGTTGGAATATTTATGAAACAAAATGTGATGTTTCAGGCCTAGGGAGATAGATAGCCTAGTCCACAAAAAAAGTTTGCCTTGCAAACATAACAATCTGAATCTGCTCCCATCCCATAACCTATGTTAAGAAGCTGGGTGTGGGGCTGGAGAGATGGCTCAGAGGTTAAGAGCTTTGCCTGCTCTTCCTAAAGGTCCTGAATTCAATTCCCAGCAACCACATGGTGGCTCACAACCATCTATAAGGGGGGTCTGGTGCCCTCTTCTGGCCTGCAGGCATACACACAGAATATTGTATACATAATAAATAAATAAATAAATAAATATTTTAAATAAATAAAACCACCTATGAGTGAGTACATGTAATAATTGTCTTTCTGGGTCTGGATTACCTCACTCAAAATGATGTTTTCTAGATCCATCCATTTGCCTGCAAAATTCAAGATGTCATTTTTTTCTGCTGTGTAGTACTCCATTGTGTAAATGTAACTGAAGAGAAAGGGCCAGTCATTTTGTCATCTACCTAGAGCGGTGGTCTATAAAGGATTTTAAAGGCGCTATGAACCTAAGCTACTGAGGAGTCTAAGAATATAAGGAAATTATGTACTATAACTTCTACTTTTGAGTGTATGAATATTTTGAACTAACAGTCTGTGATTAGAAGTCATGAAATATTGGAATTTCTTGGATTCAGGGGTATTATGTTGTCTTGGACAAAAGACAGTCAGGGCCCCATAAATGTACTAGTACAGACCCAGGTCAACTTTCCTGAGCTACCATAAATCTCTTAGAAACAACTCAGTTGGCACCATCTGAGGCATGGTGACACCAAAAGCGTTTTAAATCTTAGGATGTATTTTCTGCCTGTGTGTAATTTTAGACCATAAAAAATGAAATTTGTGCTGGGTGGTGGTGAGGCACACCTTAAATGCCAGCACTTGGGAAGCAGAGGCAGGTGGATCTCTGTGACTTTGAGGCCAGTCTGGTCTACAAGAGCTAGTTCCAGGACAGGCTCCAAAACCACAGAAAAACCCTGTCTCAAAAAACCCAAAAAAAAAAAAAAAAAAAAAAAAAAGGACATTTGTAGCTCTTTCTCAGATCTATAAAGTCAAATTATTTTTTTTGTAGCTCTGGTCAGTTAGAAAATCTTTCCCCGCAGTGATTCTGAGCAAAAACTGTAATTATTGTCCTAGGTCATTAGTCAGACCTAGCAAAGAAAGTGTAACAATTAGCTTGCTTTGCACTTTTAACTCTGTCTTAACAAATCACACAGCTCAGCTATATGTCCTTGTAAGCTAGGTTGCTTTTCTGGGAATAGTTTATCTTAAAAACTATTAACAAGGCATCTGGTCTAATCTAAAGCTACGCTGAAGTTTTAGGTCAGCTGATAGTGCACAGCTGTCCTGACAACTGGGGAAAATTCAACTGTTTTCCTAATTGTTAACTTGAGCCGTGATCTAAAGAAGCTCCTAGGGGGACTCATAGACCCCTACTGTGTCATAATTCTTTGTGTTCATTGTTATCCATCAGAATTTTGTATCAGCTAACATTATTGATACCAATTAGACAATGCAGCTGAAGGAGGTGTCACCTTCTGGACAATCACAGATAAAATGCCCAGTAGATCGGGAAGTATTCATGAGATGAACACATTATGATACAGGGACATTTGCAGCAACACATGTGAGGTCACAGACAGAAACAAAAGATATTCTGCAGTCTGTAGCCTCATGGCCTTTCCTAACGAGGTTTTTCCCATCAGAAAGTTTTCCTCCTGGTGGGATGATACCTTGTTCTTATTCTTTTTTTTTTTTTATTGAAAAAAAAAAATTTTCCGCCTCCTCCCCGCCTCCCATTTCCCTCCCCGTCTCCCTTTTCCCTCCTCCCCCTCCTCCCTCTCTTCTCCCCCTCCCCCCACTCCTCTCCCTTGTTCTTATTCTTAAGACAAGACCACAGCAATAAATACAATAAAGATTGTAGTTATTTTTTCCCCTTTAACCATTTCTGGAATAAAGCCTGAAATGAAAGCAGGTCATGGTAGTACACATCTATCGTCCTAGCACTTAGGTGGCTGAGGCAGGGAGATCACAAGTTTGAGGCCAGTCTGGTATATATGACAAGCTCCAAACCAGCCGGGGATACATAGCAAGACACTCTACCAAAAAGCAAAACTCAGAAGCATAACCAAAATGCCTGAAATTATTTATTTGCTCATCTTTTCCACCACTAAAGTGAACTTAGTAAGCATCTATCTAGAAACTGTTTTATCCTAGATCACATTTTCTCAAATGATCTTTTCTCAGGTCTCACTTGAACTATTACAGTGATTTTATATATATACACACACACACTTATGGATATACATATACATATATATAATATTTAAAAGAAAATGTGAAATATTTAGCAACTTATTTAAAGTAGCAATAATAAACCTGTAACATGTTGTCATAAATAATTTTATGAAAAACAACTTTGTTTTCCAGAATCTAAAAATTTAATCAAAAGAGTAAAATTATTTTACATTTTTATTTCTTTGTAATGTCTAGGTGTTGATCTCTTTCCTCCCAACCAAACATCTGCCATCTTCATGAGTTCAGATGGGCCCAATTATGGACGATCATTACAGTGGGGTTTGCTGACTATTGAGGGAGCCAGTAGGGTCGTAGAGCCTCATCTGAGTATTAGTACCTCCCAACAGTATGCACCTCTGCTCTGGTTGCATGTGGCTTTGATGTCTCAAGGAGGAAAAACATTTATAGGGTAGAGAAGACTAGATGTCTATGGCAAAGCCATTGTTAGTGCATGGTGAAGACTGTCCAGTGTGGTCACTTTGATGTCACCCATCACCGTGCTTTTAGAAATAAGCCTAATAAACTCGTGGATTCTCCAGGGGAACTTTGGTGGAACTGAGTTTGGTTTGTCGCTGGGACTGTTGGAGGAGGGAGATAGATGTTTCCTAGTGCCCCACAAAGAGAAGATTCTTTTTTTAAATATTTATTTATTTATTACGTATACAATGTTCTGTCTGTGTGTATGCCTGCAGGGCAGAAGAGGGCACCAGACCTCATTACAGATGGTTGTGAGCCACCATGTGGTTGCTGGGAATTGAACTTAGGACCTTTGGAAGAGCAGGCAATGCTTTTAACCGCTGAGCCATCTCTCCAGGCCCAAAGAGAAGATTCTTAAAAATAGATGGCTCATCGTGTCTGCTGTAACACCACACGTATGATCTCTAGAAAATACTGCTGTGTGTTTGTAGGAGAGTGAGAGAGAAAATGAAAGACAAGTAACCTAGGAGCTATGACATTGTAGACCGTAGACAGTCTTTTGAGAACCACTGCTGTGGGCATTTGTGGGTGAAGCAAGTAACAAGCTTACGTTTTTATTAGGATAGCACATGGGAGATAAAATGATTGACATGTCACCAGCAAAGAGTGGGAAAGCAGATCTAAAGGACAGTAAGCAAAGAGGGGCAGATTAGAAATGCTATCCTTTCTAATTAGACATCGACTCCTGCAGGTAATATTGGTAAAGAAATCAATTTACGGGAGAGAAGTTTGAATAACTATTGAGTGTAATAGAAAGAAATGAGTTAATTTTAGATGTTAAAACTGAGTGATTCAGACAGGCAGTGGCGGCGCACGCCTTTAATCCCAGCACTCTGGAGGCAGAGGCAGGTGGATCTCTCTGAGTTCAAGGGCAGCCCGGTCTACAAAGCGTGTTACAGGACAGGCTCCAAAGCTACTGAGAAGCCCTGTTTCGAAAAACCAAAACCAAACCAAAAACAACTGAGTGATTCAACCCATTATCTTGTTACTTTTCTAAGAAAATGTTTTCTTGTTTGTTTGCTTAATCATTTGAATATTTTTTTTCTGAGACAAGGTTTCTTTATATAGCTCTGGCTGTTGAAATATGGAGCGGCGGCAGGGCTGCGTCCCCGGCACCCGGCCGCCCGCATGGCTAGTTTATACCCAGAAATAATTACACGGAAACTGTATTCTTTCAAACACTGCCTGGCCCGGCTAGTTCCAGTTTCTTATTGGCTAGCTCTTACATATTGTTCTAACCCATTTCTAATATTCTGTGTAGCCCATGAGCTGGCTTACCAGAGAGGATCTTAACCTGCGTCTGTCTGGAGTGGGAGCATCATGGCGACTCACTCACTCAGCTTCTTTTTCCCAGCATCCTGTTCTGTTTTCTCCGCCTACCTAAAGGTTGGCCTATCAAATGGGCCTAGGCAGTTTCTTTATTAATAAGAAATCACTCCCACATCATCTGGCTGTCCTGGAACTAGCTCTGTAGACCAGGTTGGCCTCGAACTCACAGAGATCTGCCCGCTTCTGCCTTGTGAGTGCTGCAATTAAAAGAGTATACCACCACTGCCTGGGTATTAATTGCTTCTTAAAACCTTCAGTTTTGAATTTCCAAATACTTGATACTTTTAGGGGAGAAATGACTCTGGGTTCTGTTTTCTGTGCAGCACACAAAAAGAAAGATGATATTATACTCACTAGAGGTTGGTCTGTAGGTGAGCAAAAAGAAATGTACATACATACACACACATAGGCAAATAATTTTAAAAAGCCAACTACATTGATTATTTGTTACTAAGAAACAGACAAGATAAATACAACCTAGTGTCACATAGAATCTTTGTTTGCTTGTTTTTCAAGACAGGGTTTCTCTGTAGCTTTGGAGCCAGTCCTGGAACTAGCTCTTGTGGACCAGGCTGTCCTTGAACTCACAGAGATCTGCCAGCCTCTGCCTCCCAAGTGCTGGGATTAAAGGTGTTTGCCACCACCACCTGGTGTGTTGCATAAAATCTTACAAATTCTCTACAACTCTAACTCTAGTACTTTTGAGGTGTGAAAACAGAGTCACAAAGACAAGTGACTGGTGGGTCTGTGCTTAGAGTCAAGTCTCTGATTGCCAACAGTCCTTTTCCTCGATATTATTTAATGTATATTTTTATATTTTCAGATACTCCTTGCTCTGAATTGTCCTTTCTTTTTTCTTACTTTGTTTAAAATAGAAGAGAATACTGTTGAGTTTAGACTTGGATCAAAGGGAGACTTGGAAGTGTGGGAACGATGGTTGATTGGCAGGAGTACACATGGGCTGTTTATGTCTAGGTGATTGTCACCTCAGGATGGTGAGATTTGGTTTTTCATTTTCACTTTCAGAAGACCTGATAAACCTAATAACAGAGTGTCCCCAAACTGAGTTAGTTAAATGTCTTACTCGAGAGAGGGATGGAAAACCACCATTTTTATCTTTCGCGCTTGCTGTGCTTCATCTGTTTTCTGTGGACATGAAAAAGGTTGGCATTAAGCTGCTTCAGGAGATCAGTAAAGGCGGGAAAGGTGAGTGAGCCCATGACTCCCTGAGGAATGAGAGAGACTTCTGCTCAGTATACTTTAGACCAACTTCGAATTCTCCACTACTCTCCCGTGTTGTGTCTGTAGTTTGTGGTCCGTGGCCTGTCACCTGCCTGGTGTGTGTGTCTGTTGCCTGTCTGTCCCTAACAGAGTGCTTTGCACTGTGTTTGTTGAATACCACAGAAAACATGGTGTGGGAAAGGAATGAGAAGAAACCTTTAACAGTTTTACAAGGGAAGAAATTATGTCATTGACCCAGAACAGCTCAAAACCACAATCAGATATTATCAACCTGTATGTAAACATTGCGTCCATTATTTATAGGTTTTTTTTTTTGTTGTTGTTGTTTAAGGTTGCTTTCAACCTGTTTGCTGTTTTTTCCTTCCTTCCTTCCTTCCTTCCTTCCTTCCTTCCTTCCTTCCTTCCTTCCTTCCTTCCTTCCTTCCTTCCTTCCTCTTTCTTTTTTTCCCTTTCCTTTCCTTTCCTTTCCTTTCCTTTCCTTTCCTTTCCTTTCCTTTCTTTTTTCTCCCAGACAGTCCTGGCTGTCCTGGAACTAGTGTTGTAGACGAGACTGGCCTCAAACTCACAGAGATCCACCTGCCTCTGCCTCCCTCGTGCTGGAATTAAAAGTGTGCACCACCACCGCCCAGCCCTGTTTGCTGTTTTGAATAAATTACTATTACAACCCCCCCCCACACCTTTGACAGAGGCATAGGAAAGTACACAGTTTAAGGTCAAAACTGTTCATTTAGCTTCACTTGTAAAACATGATGAAGTGGGAAGGCCAAGGCACACTAAGGTCGCTTTCATTATTTTCTTAGAGGCAGATTAAACTTAAAACAGGCTGAGGACACTATAAGTCACTGGATTGAGTACATAGTTTTAAATGATCTTAAGGCATATTATAACTTGATTTTAAGATCTGACCAAAGTTCATTCTCTTTGAAGGCAAGAGGTATTTTCAGGAAAATATGTTACCATAAGTAAGGAGCTTCAAGTGCTGTTGCGAAAGAGATAGTAATGAATTATTTAGGGAGAAGTCCAAGATGATTAAACTTAACTCAGATTTTCCAGAGTTAACTTTTAGAGTTTATAAATGTGAAGATTGCCATGTTAGTAAGTCTCTTGTCATTGGCATATGTTTGTTGAAGGAATTAGAATGAAAAATCTTTACTAAGCCCAATGAGAATGCCATAATCATTGAAAGAGGCAACACTCTTATAAAAACTTTATATATGACAGGCAATGGTGGCACACGCCTTTAATCCCACCACTTGGGAGGCAGAGGCAGGTGGATCTCTGTGAGTTTGAGTAGCAGTCTGTGCTACAAGAGCTAGTTCCAGGACAGCTAGGGCTGTTACACAGAGAAACCCTGTCTCGAACAGCCCCCCAAAAGCTTTATGTAATTTATCATTATCATTTATATATATTAGATATTAATTAGCTATCGATAATTTAATTTTTAGATCCATTATATACATATTTACGAAGTCCTTCCTTCCTTCCTTCCTTCCTTCCTTCCTTCCTTCCTTCCTTCCTTCCTTCCTTCCTTCCTTCCTTTCTTTCTTTCTTTCTTTCTTTCTTTCTTTCTTTCTTTCTGAGACAGGGTTTCTCTGTAGCTTTGGAGACTGTCCTGCAACTAGCTCTTGTAGACCAGGCTGGCCTCAAACTCACAGAGATCTGCCTGCCTCTGCCTTCCGAGTGCTGGGATTAAAGGTTGCGCCACCACTGCCCAGCTTCGGACATTCTTAATGTAACTTTGCAGTGAAGTTGAAGAGCTGTTAAAATTTCACATTTCCTCCCTTTTCATTAATTTTATATAGAAGCTTAAGCAGATAACTTTTCAAATTATTGTCTAAGGCCAAAGAAAGAATAGTTAGTTACCTGGAAATATATTGAGGAAGATAATCTAATATTCTGAATTTATCATTACAAATAATGATTAAAGTATTTAATAGGAAAATAACAATTGTGCTCAAAATAAAATAGTAGTGATGATAGTAATAAAAAGAGAAATCTTCTGTAACCAAGTTTTATAAGCAATGCAGATGATAGGTAAGGTGTTGGCTCCATGAGCTGATGAATACTGGGTTTAGCGGGTGGCTCCGTCAGTGCTCAGGTCCAGAACACATGTGAGAAAGGCAGGCGTGCTGGCGCACATCTGTGACTCCTTCAGGCCGGTGAGAGCCTGTCTCAGAAATAGAAGGCTGGTAGTTTTTAAGGGTTTCTCTCATGTGGACACTTGTACACATACATCTACAACCTCATGTGCATCCCTCGTACACAGAGTAAATAAATATGTAGTAAATACCAACGAGAGTTACTATCAGTTTTCTCTCAGAAGTAATCATGTTATATTTCTTTAATGATTTATTTTTATTTTATGTTCATTGGTGTTTTACTTGCATGTTAATCTGTGTGATGGTGTCAGATCCCCTGGAACTAGAGTTACAAACAGTTGTGAATGACCATGTGGGTGCTGCGAATTGAACTTGAGACCTCTGGAAGAGAGCCATCTCTCCAGCCCCCATATGAGATTTCTAAAAAAGTATTTATTTTTTAGGACAGTATTGATTATAGATACTGCATGATTATGAGGCCTGTGTAGAAGAAGCATGCACAGATTGCTAAGGAGTGTCTTAAGTCCTTGGGCAGCACTACTAAAGTGTTTATGAAGCTACTTAAAGGATCATGAGGATCCAAGCCTGAGGTTCTCAGCACGCACTTGTTTCCAGGAGTGCGTATAGACTGTTAAGAAGAGGCCCCCAGGGGCTGGAGAGATGGCTCAGAGGTTAAGAGCATCGCTTGCTTTTCCAAAGGTCCTGAGTTCAATTCCCAGCAACCACATGGTGGCTCACAACCATCTGTAATGGTGTCTGGTGCCCTCTTCTGGCCTGTAGGCATACACAAAAAAAAGACAGAATATTGTATACATAATAAATAAATATTTAAAAAAAAAGAAGAGGCCCCCACTCTTCACTTTCTGAGCTCACTGCCTTACACCCGTCAACACCATCTACCTTACAAGGAGACGAGTGAGGTGGAAGGGGAACACAGAGGGCTGAGGGATGCAGTTAAGGAGAAGAAACTGGCGTTCAGGAATGTGCAGGGTCTGGACCTGAGCACTTGTCATAGCACGAAACTCGGGGCCAAGGCCCGGCTTGAGAACAGCTGTGTTGAAATGGGGCCTCTTCGTTTTTGAAGGCTTGCTAAGTGTGGATTGTCAAGTAAGAGAAATTCAATAGTGTAATGCTTTATTTCTTTTTCAGATGAAATAGAGCATCTTGTGATGGACGATCCATTTTGCTCCTTAGAAAAATGGCAAGAAATAGCAAATATCTGTTTACAGAATGGTTTTGAAAATTTGTCTAGTGACATCATGTCCATTCTCCGATCCCAGGCTGGAGTTTCAGAAATTTCAGAAGATGATTCCATCAACATAATGGAACATGTTTTTTGGTAGTTCTATGTTTTGTCCAGCTGAGGGCGCTTGTACAACATTTTATAGGCATTGGCTGGGCAAACTGGTTTTAGCATAGTTAACATGAATAAATGTTAAGTATAATGCTCTCAGCAATAAATGACACTTCCACTATGATGTTCAGGTTTGACCTTGAAACCATTGCTTCCTTCCTACCATGTGGTCACTTCTTATAGCAGATCTAGAGCAAATCCAAGAGTATAGCTCTGCGTAAAGATAGCATAATTTGAGACAAGGTTTCTCTGTAGCTTTGGAGCCTGTCCTGGAACTTGCTCTGTAGACCAGGCTGGCCTCGAACTCACAGGGATCCACCTGCTTCTGCCTCCCGAGTGCTGGGACTAAAGGCTGCGCCACTACCGCCCGGCTGGATACCTTCTCATCATCTAATTTGATCCCTGGAACTGAAGAAGGTGTGGGCAATGTTCTCCCTTTGCACTGACTTTCTAAATGTTAGATATTGCAAGCTTGCCTCTGCAAGAAAAGGAGATATTACTTGAAGACTGAGTGTGCTGGGAAAGAACTAGACTAAGTTTGTCCTACTGATTCAAGGATGGCTCCAGTCTTTGATGTCTGTCTGTATATCCATGGACACACACACACCTGCACATACGGATGATAACCTTTGCCATTTTATAAACGGAAAAGGTCAGATTCCAACTGAGGTTTAGAATCTTGGCATGTTTTTACTTAAAGGGAAGACCAGACAGATTGCCTTGGGTACTCTTGGGCATGGAAAACGGATCTTTTAAAAAAAAAATCATTTTGTACTGTGCACAGTGTTGAATGCCTAAAATCCTAGTTCTCAGGAGGCTGAAGTAAAAAGGTGATGAGTTGGAGATCAGCCTGGACTGCAGAGTGAGAGTGTCTCAGAAGCCAAACAAAATAGAATAACAACAAAGCAAAACCCACCCAAAAAGACAACAAGAGATAATTTTTTAAAAATAATTCCAAGTATTTGAAATTTTAGAATTCTTTTTTTTGGGGGGGATATTTTTTAAAATTATCTGTGTTGGTGTTTTGCCTGCATGCATGTCTGTATGAGGGAGTCTGATTCCCTGGAACAGGAGTTACAGACAGTTGTGAGCTGCCATGTGGGTGCTGGGAATCAAACCCAGGTTCTCTGGAAGAGCAGCCAGTGCGCTTAACTGCTGAGCCATCTCTCCAGCCCAGAATTTTAGAATTCTTTACTATGGATAGATATAATATTCAAAATATTTAAGAATCAGTATGGCATGGGTACCAGTCAAGTAGAGTAGACATTCAGCCAATCAGAACAGCTTCCCGTTCGTGTGGCACATCTGTGCCTCCAACCCCTGGTTCTGAAATGGCGTCTCACTGTGCAAGCTCAAGCTGGCTTTAGACATGGTATACAGCTGAGATTGGTCTAAACCTGCAACGTCCCTGCCTCTGCCTGCACGTACTGGGGTTAAAAGTGTGCTCCATCACATTTTACAGAGTTGACTCCTTGTGAAGGGCCTAAGGGATCCTCTCTGTGTCTCTCCACATCCTCTTCTCCTTATGGATTTCTGTGTCTAAATCCGAGCATGGTGGCTTAAGTGTGTAATCCTGGCACTCCACGGTGAGTCATAGGCCAGCTACAGAGTGAGGCTGTCTCGTGTGTGTCTGTGTGTGTGTGTGTGTGTGTGTGCGCACGCGCGCGTAACAAATCTATAAAAAATAAATGATATAATATGCAAATATACAATAATAAACATATATAGGTATTACATCTTATTATATATATATGTATTACATCACTCATATTGAGTTAGAGTTCACCCACTATAAGTTGACTATGTCTCCAAATAAAGTCACATTCTGTTGCACTATGGGCTAAGACTTCAGCATGTAAATTTGGTAAAAACATAATTCAGACACAAACATTTTCCATTATTTCACCAAAATAAAAAATAGTACTGGGCAAAAAAAATCAATGTTCAATGTACAGTTGCTGATTGAATCTATTTTAGGCAAACCTAGAACTTTCATATTTGATATTAACCTTGTGAATTCTCTTCACTCTTGCTTACATTCTCAAAATTATGTTACACATTTTAGAATTTTTTACAAAGCATACACATCTGTATAACTAATCTCCACATGATGAGATAAAACCTTTCCAGAATATTCCAGCCTCCTGTCCTCCTCCCAAAGCTACTCAACTTCTCCTGCCATTAATGACATTTTCCTGCGTTTGAATTTTAAATAAATAAAATAACACATTAAATTTTTGGGGTCTACTTGCTTTTGCATTTTACTTTTTGTGAAATTTTTCCATATTGTTTATAGTTGCAGTTGTTCATTCTCATTGTTCCATTCTGTAAGTGTGCTACCATTATACCATACATAGACCGTAAGTTTTTCCAGTGTGTATCTGTACAGTGCTCCCTTGGTCATTCTTCATGGCTTGGCTGTGAAATCTGTTTGCATGTTTTATTCTTTGCTTTTCAAGTTGTTTGGGGGGGCGCTGGAGAGATGGCTCAGAGGTTAAGAGCATTGCCTGCTCTTCCAAAGGTCCTGAGTTCAATTCCCAGCAACCACATGGTGGCTCACAACCATCTGTAATGAGGTCTGGTGCCCTCTCCTGGCCTGCAGGCATACACACAGAATATTGTATACATAATAAATAAATAAATAAATAAATAAATAAATAAATAAATATCAAGTTGTTTGGGGGTAGGTATATATATAGTCTCATAAGTAAGTATAATTTTCTTAGCATTTAGGACTTCGCCTAAATACCAGGTTAACAAATGACCATTAATCACTTTTAAAGCATTTAATTAATTAATCTATTTATCATGTTTGTGGGATGGCTTGAATGTAATTGGCCCCCATAAAGCTCATAGGGAATGAATGACACTATGAGAAGGTGTGGCCTTGTTGAAGTGGATGTGGCCTTATGGTGAAAGTGTGTTACTGTGGGGGCAGGCTTCAGTCTCACATATGCTCAAGCTGTGCCCAGTGTCTCAGACCACTTCCTGTTGCCTGGGCAAGATGTAGAACTCTCACCTACCTCTGTAGCACCATGTCTGCCTGCAAGCTGCCTTGTCCCACCATGATGATAATGGACTGAACCTCTGAACTGTAAGCCATCACAATTAAATGTTTTCCTTCATAAGAGTTGTCATGGTGGGGCTGGAGAGATGGCTCAGTGGTTAAGAGCACTGCCTGCTCTTCCAAAGGTCCTGAGTTCAATTCCCAGCAACCACATGGTGGCTCACAACCATCTGTAATGAGGGCCGGGCGATGGTGGCGCATGCCTTTAATCCCAGCACTCAGGAGGCAGAGGCAGGCGGATCTCTGTGAGTTCGAGACCAGCCTGGCCTACAGAGCTAGTTCCAGGACAGGCTCCAAAGTCACAGAGAAACCCTGTCTCAAAATACAAAAAAACAAAAAACAAAAAAATAACCAACCAAACAAACAAAACCCATCTATAATGAGGTCTGGTGCCCTCTTCTGGCCTGCAGGCATACAATCAGAATACTGTATAAATAAATAAATAAATATTAAAAAAAAGAGTTGTCATGGTCACCGTGTCTCTTCCCAGCAATAGCCACCCTGACTGTGTGTGTGTGTGTGTGTGTGTGTCTGTGCATGAGGGTGCATGTGTGCGGTCTTGTTATGTGGGGACCCGAGGACAGCCTTAGGTGTCGTCCTTCAGGCACCATCCCCTTTGTTTCTGAGACAAGGTTTCTTACCGACATGGTGCTCACTAAGGAGATGAGGCCGGCTGGTCAGTGAGCCTCAGGGACTCACTCGTCTGCTATCCCGGCCAGTGTTTTTCCCGTGACTAGAATCATGTTAGGTTGCTAACACGTAAGTTAGAAGTCTTGCTGGTTGCTATCTGAACTTGCTCCTGTGCACAGAATATGCACAACTCCTCAACTTCATTCACTCCTGAGGGGAAAAAAAGCACTTAGCAAAGTTAAATCAGCGAATACTGGACATACAAAGTTATCAATAACTAATAAGTTATAATTGGTTGTATTCTTTAGTAAAAACTGCATTCATCTCACACACACACACACACACACAGTACTGGACACGGGGCATGGCTCAGCTGGTAAAGTGCTTTCTGTGTAGGCATGAGAACCTGACTTTCGATCCTCAACACTCATATAAAAAACTAGGAGTAGCACATGTCATAGCAGTCCTGGGGTAGCAGAGACAGGAGTGTCCTCAGGGCTTGCTGACTAGGTAGTCTAGCCAAAGCAGTGGCCTCTAGGTTCAGCAGAGACCCCCAGCTGAACAAATAATAAAGTGGCGAATAACTGAGTTCACCTCATGTCAACCTCTGACCTCCACACACACACACAAAATAAAGATATTCTTATGGATGTGTCTTGTTTCTTTTTTGCCAGCATCTACTGGTACTCCCACGGCCTTATGAATCCATGTCAGTCTCTCCTCGGTGTTCCCAAGTATCTATGGGGATCTGATACTAGTGTAAGTTAGTAAGACATGTCTCACTTAGGCAAGGGAAGCAGGACTTACTGAGAAGGACAGTTAAGGTGGATTCTGGTCATTCAAGCAGGATGATGGAATTGGCATTACTCTCTCAAAAGCTGGAAAGTAGATTTGACATCTGTAGTCCTGACTTCTCAGAGCCCTTGGTGGGAGTGGACTCCATGGATGCCTTCGACTTTGTTATGGTGCAGCAGCAAGGCCCTTACGAGGCACCAGTGCATTGTCCCAGGGCTTCCAGGGACAGGAACTGTAAGCCTGTGAATTTCTGTTCACTCTAACATACCCAGACAGCCAATCACAGCAGTCCAGAGACAACCCAGTCACTCTCCAGCTCTGGCTGTGCATGCCCAGAAGGGTAACGAGGAATCTCTGCTCCCAGAACTTGTCTTTTGTCTCACATATTCACACAGAGATGGAACCAGGGCCTTGCACATGCTCCAATGTGTGCTACCTCTGAGCAACACCCTCAGCCCCATGTGCAAAGCACAGAGCCAATTGTGCAAATGGCTTAGTCAAGCTGCTTAAAAAGCCAGGCATTTACAAGGTGATGCCTGGGTTTTGAATTGTGAGTTTGATCCGTCCCTATATAAGTTAGCTTAAACAATCTGCATGCTATGCTTTTGCCCAGTAGCAATGTGCCTTACCCTCTCTGAGGAGTGGATAGGGAGTGTGGGGGGCAGATGTTGGTGGAGGGAGTGGGAACTGGAATTGGTATGTAAAATGAAAACAGTTTGTTTTCCCTAAATCTTGCACTGACATGAGGTCACTACTGAGGGAGGAAAGCAGGGGCAGTGAGAGCCCTGTGCCTTCAGGTTGTAGTCCAGAGGCAGTGTCGTCCTGACGTTGGAGAATGCCACTTCTGTCTTTCTGATTCTTGATGCTGCCCCTCCCTTTCCTATTTATTTATCTATGGATAAGAAGGTTCTCTCTCTGTTTCTTGGCCGTCCTGAAACTCGCTATGTAGACCAGGCTGGTCTCACACTCAGAGAAGTTCGACACCCTCTGTCTCATGAGCACTGGGCTTGAAGGTGTGCGCCACCCCACTAGCTACTCCCTTTGCCGAGACGTTCACTGAACGGCGTGGGGAAAGAGAAAAAAGGGAGAAAACCTTTTTTTTTTTTTTGACACAGGGTTTCTCTGTAGCTTTGGGGCCTGTCCTGGAACTAGCTCTTGTAGACCAGGCTGACCTCTAACAGAGATCCACCTACCTCTGCTTCCCAAGTGCTGGGATTAAAGGCTTGCACCACCACCGCCTGGCGAAAGGAAGAGAACGTTTTAATGTAATTTGTAGGTATCAACAGCTCCCGTATTTTGTCGACTGTCTTGGATGTATATCCTGGTCCCAGATGACCGTGGTGATGGTTGGTAATGTGGAGATGTCTGCACGCAGGATTGATTTAGAGCAGTTCTTATCACCAGCAGCAGGATACCGTACAGAAGCCCAGGCACATCCTAAACCCAGGTGACACACAGATTAAACAGGACATCAGTAGGGCTGCGGTTATTTCTTTATATGAGTTGTAATCCATGAAAGATTGTTCATAAAGTGAAAATCTTATAAATGAAAAAAGTTTATTTTTATGTGTGTATATTATCGAAAACTTATCGATAAGGGCCAGCCTCTAAAGTCTTCTCTCAGGGTTTAATAAAAGATGCCACAATGAGTGAAAAGACTAAAATATGAGGATTAGGAAATCTACTCATGAGCCGGACACATCTTTCATCCCAGCACTCAGGAGGCAGAGGCAGGCGATCTCCATGGGTTCGAGGCCAGCCTGGTCTACAGAGTGAGTTCCAGGACAGGCTCCAAAGCTACAAAGAAACCCTGTGTTGACATGTCCTTTCTATCCACGTCCCTCAGTTGTTCTCCCTTTATTGTTCTCCATTCTTATTCTCCTGTCCTGTCTATAATTTCCTAGCTCTAAGTCCCTGTCTCAATTCTAACTGCAATTCCAATTCTCTGCTACATTTTTCTTCTCCTCCTCTTCCTCTTCCTCCATCTTCATTTTCCTATTTTTGATCATTTCTGGGATGCTTCTGCTCCAATTTGTGCTTCAGCTTCTGTCCCTGCTTCTGTTAACTCTCTTTGTTCCTACCCAGCTATAAAGACCCGCAAGATCTTGCAGGCCTAGAGAGTAACCAGGCAACCTATGTAAACAGACAAGTGAAGTTTATTGCCCTTGATCCATTAGTACATTCTTCCAATTGTAGTGAGCTCTGAGGGCCTTTTACATCTGAAGTTTACACCTATTGCTCTTAAGAGGTTAAACAAAGAGGAGACCCAAGCCTCTAAATTATCGGATAAGCTTGATGCTTATCAGAGGGGCCAATAGAGGTTTGTCTTCCTCCAGGCTGTGGGTAGACAGTTAATTATTTTTCCTGCTTATTCTGAGAGAAAAATGCAAGCAGTAAATCTCATGAACTAAAGTCATCAGAAAAGTGAAGATGAGAGTGAAGAATTAGGAACCTTTTAATGCAAAGTTAGTTTTAGGTTATCACTTTTCTTATCTATAAGTGAAGTAAACACAAGACTTGCTAATTTTTTCTGTCTGAGCAGCTATGAATCAACAGCTTTAGGCATGTAGCAATTCTGTCCTTGGATATCTGGGAATGTCTTAAATAAAATCCTTTTGCCTGGACACTTAACACTGACCAAATGCTTTCAATAAAGGTAACTGCAGAAAGGCAGATCTCTATGTTGACACTGAAGACAGGAACAGAGACCTCGTAGAGGGAAGTAGGTTTTGTGACTGTGTAACTGTTTTCACACATAGCTAGAGGAGGTAATCCGTAAACTCCAAATGCATATGAGAAATTGTACCCAATAAATGATCAAATAGTGCTGAACTGTGGGAGATAAATCCCAAATTTGTAACCGAAGGGGATAAGCTACAGAGAAATAAACAGCAGGAAACAGCTGCGTTATTCACAAGGCGATAACTCCAACTCGCCTTGCTGATATGGGGTCCCCTCTGCATGCTATGAATATGTTTTTTATTACCATTGGTTATTAAAGAAGCTCTTTCAGCCAATGGCTTAGTAGAGTAAAGCCAGGCGGGAAATCCGAACAGATACAGAGAGAAAGTAGGCAGGGTCAAGGAGATGCCATGTAGCTGCCAAAGGAGAAAGATGCCAGCAACCAGCCAGAACTTTATGGGT